GGGACACTTGATATAGGTAGTATCGTTCACAGCACATCTTGTTTCCTGAACATCCCAACAAGTTGTTTGCAGGAAATTTATGTAGGTTATGTTCAAAACAATCTTTATAGCATAGTTTTTGAAAAATAAAATGGAAACAAATAGTTTCCATAACTAGAAACAAACAGTATTGGTTCTAGTGATTGTAGAGTGATCGGTACAATAACAAAAAATTCGAAATAAAATATTGTTGTTATTTGTATGGATCTAAGACCAGCCTCCTTATTAAATGGTCGCATAATAACATTGACCAATGGCGTAGCATTATTTTTGCACATATTTTTAATTGCAAAAATTAGCTGCTATCATTGGTTGCACGTCCAATGAAAAAGCATACAAAGTAAATTGACAAAAAAAAACAAGTGAACTTCGAGCCCAATATACCGAACAAAGCATATGTTTGTTTTGTGCTAGATTTTTCTAACGATTTCCTAACAGGAAGTCCATGGGCAAATTAAATAATTCATATTAGCTGGCTCGAGACAGAACATTTATTCCATAAGCCGAACTTAAAAAATATATCTAGGTGCCAGGTGCAAATTAAAAAAAAACAGCGCACAATGTTTTTTCTAATTTGAAAGACCATGTTTCTTCCACTTGGTTTTTCAATCGAATTTGTGGCCTTTTCATTGTGGGTTGCCCTTTTGAGATGGGGCATCCTCATCCATTCTCACCACAAGACCTAAACAACATAGTCGCTACAGCTCAATACGTCTAACTATTTCGTTGTCCTAGAATAGATGGTATAACTCATGATTCATTCGAAGGCGATATTCACCGCCGACACATATCGGCCCATAGATCTCTCGGAAACATTTTCTCTCAACACTCCAAAAGCTGCCTCATTTGTTTGCGCAAGCATCCATGCTTCTGATACCTACAACAGCACGGGTAGTATCAGCATTTTGTAGAGGATGAGTTTGGTCTGGCGAGAGGTGGCCTTGTTTCTGAATTACTTACTTAGACCATAATAACGTCTCTTTGCCAACACTATTCTCCTACGAATTTCAAAATTGATGTAATTAGTTTTATTTATGGCGGTACCTCGAAGCTGTAGTTCTCAAGTTCCACAGTTGGTCCGATTCTACTGGACGTCTTGTGGGTTGATATCATCAGCTTGATCTTCTCGTCATTTACTGCCAGACCCACTTTGGCAGACTCCTTGTTCAAATGTGATTGTTACCGCTCTCAATGTTCCACCCATTATATCGATGTCATCGGGGTAGGCGAGTAACATGTGTTGTTTTGTGTAAAGAGTGCCATTTCTGTTCACCGTTGCCTCTCGTATGACCTTTTCCAGCAGGGTGTAAAAAAAGATCAGGCAAACTGTCACCTTGTCTGAATCCTCGTTCGGTATTAAAGGTCTCCGAGAGGTCCTTCCCGACTTTAACTGCTGATCTTGTGCCAGTTAAAGTTGTACTGCACAGCCGATTTAATTTTGCAGGAATGCCAAACGCAGACATGGCTTTAAACACCTCAAAACAGATAGGGCTGTCGAATGCCGCTTTATAGTTGACAAATAAGTGGAATTTCATGGGTATTTTAAAAGATCTGACACCGAGTGAAAATCTGGCCAATGGGTGGTTTTGCCAGGTCTGAAGCCGCATTGGCATGGTCCAATAATGTTATTGACCATTGACTTCAGTCGTTCACACAGAACGCTGGATAGCACTTTATATGCGATGGGAAGGAGACTTATTCCTCTATAGTTGACACATATCGTTTTGTCTCCTTTTTTTGTGCACGGGACACATGGTGCTGAGGTTCCAATCATTGGACATGCATTCCTCTAACCAAATTATACTAATCAGCTAGAGCATGTTCCTTATTTCGGCTGGTAACCCATCGGCACTAGCTGTTTTTTTTTTTTTTTTTTTTTTTTGTTCTTCACCCGATTAATTGTTACTTTGACCTCATCTTGACTAGGTGGTATATACTCTACACCATCATCTCTTATTGGTTCTGGGGTATCTTCTTCGCCACCACTATTTGATACCAGAAGCTTTTCAAAATGTTACTTCCTGATCCTCAACACACAATCGGTATTTATTACCAGGTTCCTATCTTCATCGCTACAGGAGGATGTGGCTGCACCAAAGCCTTCAGTTTGATGTTTTACTCGTTGGTAAAATTTCCGGACTTCGTTCTGACTCCTGCACATCTCGATTTGCTCCCGCTCATGGTTTTCATGTTCTTTTTTCTGAAAATACGTTTCTTCGATCTCCTTTTATCCCAATAATTCTCCATCGCCGGGGTTGCGTTTTTCATATCAGTAGCATTACGGCACTCGTGATCGTACCATGGGTTTCTTGATTGTGGTTTTTGGTACCCAAGTATTGCTTTTGTTGCAGTTTGTAAGGAGTGAGCAATTCTTTGCCATTGTGCTTCTATAATATTATCGGGACAAGGGGGTGCTTTTGTCAAGCAGTTGGGTAAGTTGAGTGGAGTAGGATTCTGCTATCTGTTGTGTTTGCAATTTGTTAACGTCGAGTTTCCCTGTTGTATTAGATCGCACCTTTGCTGCAACATTAAGACGAGTGCGAACCTTGGCTGCTACAAGATAGCGGTCCGAATCGATATTCGCTCCTCGTATCGATCGAACATCTTATACACTGGTTGAATGCCTTCCGTCTATCACAACATGATCAATTTGATTTCCCGTTGCTTGATTAGAAGAAATCCTGGTGGCCTTGTGTATACCGAGATGCTTGAAGCTGGTGCTGCTAACTGCCATGTTTTTTGCTGCCGCGAAGTCAATCAACCTCATTCCGTTGTCGGATGTTTATTCATGAAGGCTGAGTGAGTGGGGCAAAAGATATTTTCCCTTCCGATTTTTGCATTAAAATCCCCTAGCAGAATTTTAATGTCATAGCCAGGGCAGCGATCATATGCTGTTTTTAGGCGCTCGAAAAAAATGTCTTTGGTCTGTTCATCTTTGTCTTTGTTTGGAGCATGATCGCAAATGAGACAGATTTAGAAGAACTTCGCTTTTATACGGATTTTATCAATTCGCTCATCTACTGGAGTGAATCTGGAGACGAGGCTTTTTATTCTCCTGTTAACTATAAATCTGCAGCCAAATTCATGTCTCGTTTCGTCGCATCTATAATAATGGCGTGATCATTTGATTTACTTACGCCTGACCCTTTCCCTCGGCAATAAAATCGGCTTTGTACCTCTTAAGTACATCCGCCAAAGAACACTGCGCCTATTCTGTGCAACGTGCGCTCATTTCAAGTGCAGATTCGCCGATCTTGGTCCTTTATACTTTTGCGGGGGTCGTCAACATTAGGGGGGTTTGGTTTTCTTTTTCTTAGCTTTTTCATAGTAGGTTTGGTTTTCCGAGTGTGTGCAACTAACCCGACGCCTCAACCCATTTTTTTATAGTTTTTTTTTCTTGTGAAACAATAATAAATATTTCAGACTTTGTAATTCGATTTGAAATTGTCAGATCCTATCTACACAATCAACCGCCTACGAGTCATGTAACTCGGAAAATAATTAAACCCCTGGTTATAAAATAAGTGTCGCAACTCATATATGTATGCTAGTTAAACCGCTATTTCCCGAAGATGATGAAATAGATTTCAATCGACAGAATGACATCTAATTCAGAATTCATTCAAAACTGAAATTGAAAACACATTAGGTAATTATTTACTTTGTAATATATTTTTAGATTTTAAATTTCCCGCTGGCATCATTAGAAAATATTTATAAATTCAATTATTAAATATTCCAGAGATAATCGATTGTTTGCGTGAAATTTGCCTCCATTTCACATACACACATAAACAAAAAAATATTTGTTTGTCATTTCCAACTGCAACAAAAAAAAGATCCGACGAACATTGGCTTCCCATTTCAAATCACGTGAACACAGTGGACTGGCCCCTTTGCAGCACACAAATAACGAAGGCGATAAGCGCCTGGCCGTACAGTTCTTCTCCGATTCACACGTGTTCACAAGACATGTGTACGACATGTTGTTGTTGTCGATTATGGACATAAATTTAAACACAATTTTTTGCTATTTCATGGAAAGTCTCGAGACTTGAATAACTGTACTCAAATGGTGAGGATCACAAACCGAAACAAATTGTTATCAGTATTTCTTAAGAGGGCGTCAAAGATGTTATTGGAAAAGCAGTTCCATATTCACACACACACACACACAAATGAAATGCACAGTTGAATGTGTCGAAAAACAAATTGGTGTGATTTGATTTTGAGCGTTAGCTAATGTGTGAATGTTCGTTGTAAATTTGAAAATCCTATTGTGTTCGGTTTAACCTGGACCATAGTGGATTTGGATGAAGCTGATGTGATTTGATTTTGAATATCAGCATATGGGTGTATGTACTTTGTAAAATCGGAAAACCTGATGTGTTTGGTTTAACCTGGACCGTAGCGGATTTTGATGACGACTTTGGTATACACTGGACAAAAATGGCATATTAATTTTTGAAATTTGTGTATTGTGAAACAATGAGGAATATAGAATTTTTAAGGGAGGATACTACGGAATAACACATAAGATCCAAATTTTGTATAAAATGTGGTTAATATATTTTTTCGCTACATATATTTTTTGCAACTAGTCTAAATTGAATATATTTGGTTCAGATTGAAAGTTCTTAGTAGGGCGGAAGCTCAATACACAACTCCACGGACCACGATCTTCGAATCTGCACTTGGAATGTACGCACGTTGTACAAAACATGGATGTGCAAAGCCGGTATTATTGCCTTACAGGAAATGCGATGTAAAGGCACTGACGTAAGTAAATTAGATGATTACGCCCTATTTTATTTGCGCCCATGCTCCGACGGAAGGCAAAGATGAACAGACCAAAGACATTTTTTACGAGCGCCTAGAAAAAACATATGACCGCTGCCCTGGCTATGACATTAAAATTCTGCTAGGAGATTTTAGACGTTCGATCGATACGAGAAGCGAATATGGATTCGGACTATTACCTTGTGGCAGCCGAGGTTCTCACCCGTCTTAATGTAGCAGCAAAGCTGCAAACACAACAAATAGCAGAAGCAAAACGTGAGCGTGAGAAATCGAGTTACAGGAGTCAGAATGAAGTCCGGAAAGTTTACCAACAAGTAAAACACCAAACCAAAGGTTTTGGAGCAGGCACATCTTCCTGTAGAGATGAAGAAGGAAACCTTGTGACAGATACAGACAGCGTGTTGAGGATCTGGAAGGAGCATTTTAAAAAGCTTCTGGTATCAAACCAATAAGAGATGACGGTATAGAGCGTATACCGCCAAGATGAGGGCAGAATAGCAATCAATCGACTGAAGAATACTAAAGCAGCAGGAGTCGAACTAGTCGAACATCCTGTATCCCGTGCGCAAAAAAGGAGACAAGACGATATAATGGAATTAGTCTTCTTCCCATCGCATATAAAGTGCTATCCAGTGTGCTGTGTGAACGACTAAAGCCAATGGGCAATGTCATTATTGGACCATACCAATGCGGCTTGAGAGCAGGCAAATCCACCATTGACCAGATTTTTACTCTGCGCCAAATCCTGGAAAAGACCCACGAAAAACACATTGATACATACCACATATTTGTCGACTATAAAGCCCTTTTCGACAGCCCCATCCGTTGAGAGGTGTTTAAAGTCATGTCTACGTTCGGCATTTCTGCAAAATTAATAATACTATGCAGGATAACTATAACTGGTACAACGTCAGCAGTTAAATTCGGAAAGGACCTATCGGAGCATTTTAATACAGAACGATAATTTAGACAAAGCGACAGTTTGTCGCTGGCATGACACTCTGTATACCGCACAGCATAAGTTACTCACCTACGTCGATAACATCGACATAAAGGGTCGAACATTCCGAGCGGTAACAGCTACCTTTGAACGAATTGAAAAGTAGTCTGCCAAATTGTGTCTGGCAGTAAATGGCTAGAATACCAAGCAGACCAAACTCGCCAGACCAAACTCACTCTCTACAAGACGCTGGTACTACCCGTTCTGTTATATGGATCAGAAGCATAAGCATATGGCCCATCCTTTCCTCCGGATCTCTTGTTTGGTGACACTGCCGGCGCCACAAGTCGACATCCAGCAAACTAGACAAGGTACAAAGAGCTGCCTCGATTCTAATAACTGGAGCGGCGAGGAACACCTCACAAACAGCTCTGAACTCAATGTTGAACTTAAGACATCGGCTTCTCAGCATTAAGTGTAAGGCAGCGCGTAGTGCTCTAAGGCTGCATGAACAAAATCTTTGGCGAAATTGGGCCTACGGGCATGGATGTATCCTGAACGAACAAGGTATGACATTGGACCAACGCGTAAAACTAAGCGACCAGTCCTGAGATTTGACGATGTAGATGTCGTTATCCCCAGTAGAGATGCCTGGAACCGTATTAAAGCTCCTTTGGATGGTTTACGGTTCCAAGATGAAAGAAAGTATAGGGGCTGGTGTCTACTGTGAAAGGCTAGGCCTTTGGCTTACCTACAACTGTAGTGTTTTCCAAGCTGAAATCTTCGGGATTTGAAAGGCAATGGAATTGATAAAATAGTCGCCGTTGAACCGGTGACTATTTTTGTGGATAGTCATGTGGCTCTTAAAGCCATCAAATCCTGTAAAATCAAATCTGAGGTCGTAGAGCAGTTTTGGAAACACTAACAGCTATTGGCTGTGTTGGGTCATGAAAAAGCAGACGAATTAGCTGGACAAGGATCTCAATCCACAGATCTAGCAATCGATGGTTCAATCAATCAATTTGAGGCGTTATTCGACGAACGAGCCAATGAATATTGGCACAACGAACCTAGGTGCAATGTGTCAAGATCTATCTGGCCGACTCTGTCAACCTGAAGAAAACTGAAATTAGAGTAATGACTGGATTCATTACTGGTTTTTGCAATATCAGGGCCTTTACCAGTAAGCGGGACCATGACGTTACTGATTACTGCAGAATCTGTGATGAGGAGACAATTGAGCATCTGCTGTCAAGACCTGGCCTACAGACGACACAGATACTCACTTTCCACCGTGTCTAAGCTTATTTTCAACTATGGAACCTGCTTTAGTCTACAGCATCATTAGAAACCTAAAGTGGTTCGGAAAGCGCAACCTTAGCACGTAATATGTTTTCTGTCCAAAATTCCGACACTATTTACAACCTTCCTTCTCCTACTTTCTTATTAGGTTCTTGTCTTTTCTATCCCCTTCCTCCCCTACAGATCTCTCCATATCTCTCATGAATGATCACAATGGACCAGATCCGGGTCGGTCTCCGAGTGCTGCAGTCACTTAGTGACTACCCATACACAAACCTAACCTATTGTGTAATACACAATGTGTACATCATTCCCTATGTGGTTGCCCCGCACCAAAAAAAAATCGCCAAATATTTTTCCAAAAAAACTGTCATCGATGAATCTGGCCTAAAAGATATTCTCAAAAAATTTTGATCATGAAGAACTGTCCGATTTCTTTGATATAGTTAACATTGTCGAAATCACGTTATGGCAAAATTTACCCTAGGATCTTGGTTAACACCCTTGTCCTTGAGGCCTTTCGACCTTGTTTCTGTTTCGCTTTCTGTATCTACACCCTATCAGGTGAATACCCGGCGGCTTCGAAACATTTTATGCTGATTGATACTTTCCTGACCTATTACAATTAACCACTAACACATACATACAAGTCTTGCAATAATTCGAACAACTTCGAAAGAAAACAAATACCTCTCCAACCGAACCGCAACACCCTTTTCCACAAAAGAAAAAAACCCCGACATTAAAACATGTCTTAATCTTCGAAAGTAAATGGAAAATTAAAAACATTTCTAATATTAAATTAATATTGAATTAATTCTTATCTATGAAAATATTGAAACACACTGACACACACACCGACCGACCAATCGGCAGACAGACATCTGTATTAAAAGGCATGGCGAGAGAAGAGAGCGGTGTCTTCAACGAAATGTTTGTTTTGAAAATATAGCTGAAAACCCCCGAACAACTGACTATAAATACCACGATTTGGGAATCACCAAGCGTCAGAAGTAAAGCAACGTTCGAACTGCGAACACATACGCCGGAGAGGCTCAAGACAGTAATATCAGTTACTAAAAACACACACACACATAACACAAAAATGTTGAAAATTTTTCAAAAATCAGTGGGTATCGTGCTCACAATATTAGTGATCGGCTTGCAGACAGTTAATTGTGGAGGTAAGTAAAGAATCGGAATTATTTACAAAATTTTAATAGTTCTGAAAATATTAAAAAATAAAATTCGAATGAGTGAAAAATATTTGTTTTTTATTTTGTGTTATTTTCAATTAAACCCTCGAATCCATTCGACTCGAATTTTGCAGAACCAGAATGTTATTTTCAATATACCAAATTTCAATACCCAATTTTATTTTCAAATTAATTTCAATATTTTTTCTTTTTAATTTTCCAGTAATTTCCTCACCCAATGACAACATTGAACACGATCATCGCATGCACCCGACCTTCAACTTTGAGCCGGTTGATCGCCTCTACAAACGTGCCATGCCCATGTTGAAATTTGATCCCTCCAAGCCGGAGGAAAAACATTTAGAATTTTGGAATGACGTTGCCCAGGATACGTTGAGTCAACAATTGGCCAGTAAATCGCTGCTCAATACGAATATGGCAAAAAATGTGATCATGTTTTTGGGTGATGGTATGTCCATACCCACGATAACGGCGGGACGTGTTTACCTGGGTGGTGAAGAGAAACAATTTACATTCGAGAAATTCCCCTACATTGGACTCAGTAAGGTAAGGAAAAAAGAGAAAAATATAGGGGAAATTTTTGTAAACATCTGCATTCAGTCCGTCGGTATGTTAAAATCATGATAGAGTGCGCCAAAATTAAATTTTCGGTATTTTAAAAGTGTAATTTGTCAACGTACGAGTTCGTAATTTGCAGACAATGAACGACTTCCTGAGCTATAAGATCTTGTAGATAGGTTGGGCGCCACATTTTAGATACGAAGTTACTGTAATTTGGTGCATGGGGTTCCCAGAGGATTAAAAGAGAATCTCTCAGATTCAATATAGGCCATGATTGAACCTAGCCACATCTTGTTAGGCAATTCGATGATCCTCGCTTAATTTTCGAAACGAAGTGGATATACTATGGCATTTACTGTACTCGGAGGGCAAATTATCCCCTCCTCAATATAGGTCCATGTATTAAATTAGTCGCTTGGGCGCCATATTTTAGGTATTTGAAGGGTTCCGGACGGATATTCCAACCGAAGTGGCTGTACTTTAGCATTTTGGGGTTCTCAGAGAATCTCTCCGAAATTCGTCAATATAGGTTCATGTTTTGACCGAGTTCCGACATACAAGATCGGCTTCTTTTTAGGTTCAAGAAATTGATATTTAGGGTTCTCGGAGGGCCTCTTCGAAGAAATTCTACAATATAAGTCCATATGTTTACATTTTAGGTATTTTGAAGGTCCTCACCGAATTTCCAAACCAAAGTGGTTGAAATTAGGCACTAGTTGTTCTCCGAGGTTAAAAATAAATTCTCACAAAAATTTTGCAATATAGGATCATGTTTAACCATAGCGTCCATATTAAGGTAAGGTATTAGGCATATTAAGGTTCATTGACAGGGTTCTCAGAGGTAGAATATTTCCTGGTTGAATTTTTGTTGGTCCATGTTCTGACATAGTCCTATTTTAGGATTTTTAAGGGTTGTAATAACTGTTGTTTACAATTCCGGTTTCTCAGAGGATGAAAAATCTCTTGACAATTAAGGTTTGAAGTAAGTCCCTGGTTTGGCATAGCTTCCATACATAGTTATTCGAACCAGGTATTCGTATTTAATATCTTTCAGACGGCATATCGGGTTCCATGTTAGATATTCATAGGGCCATTTTCAAGCGAAGAGGCTTTGATTTGGTATTTCTTGTTCTAAGAGGATAAAATCGGATTTTTTTTCAAATAGGTCCATATTTTATCAAAGTTCCCTTCTCTGGAGGTTAATACCTTTTATATTTTTTATTTATTAAAAAATACTAATAATTTTCTTCTATCCTTCTTTTCAGACCTATTGTGCCAATTCCCAAGTGGCCGATTCCGCCTGTACAGCCACAGCCTATTTGGGTGGTATAAAGGCGAATTATGCCACCGTCGGTGTAACCGCTGCCATTGAGCTGAACGATTGTCGGGGACAAAATATTAGCGAACATCATGTCCACTCTATTGCCGCTTGGGCTCAAGCTCAGGGTATGGCCACGGGCCTTATCACAACCACCACAGTGACTCACGCCTCGCCCGCAGGTGTTTATGCTCATGCCGCAAATCGTAATTGGGAAAATGATGCGGAAATTGTCAAGACCAACAATGATCCGACGCAATGTCAAGATATTGCCACTCAGCTGATTTACAATGATGTTGGACGTAAATTGAATGTCATTTTCGGTGGGGGTCGTGAACATTTTGTACCCACCTCAGAGGGTGGTAAACGTTTGGATGGTCGTAATTTAATCAAAGAGTGGAAAGAGTTGCACGGCTCCCATGCTACCTTCATTCAGACTAAGGACGAACTGAAGAATCTACCCAAAAATACCGAACGTGTTATGGGTATGTTTGCCAACAATCACATACCCTATCATTTGGATGCAGATCGATCGGCCATACCTAGTCTCAGAGAAATGGTTGCCGAAGCATTGGAAATTCTTGAGCGTCAAAGTAATGGAAAAGGTTATTTCCTGTTCGTCGAAGGCGGACGCATTGATCATGCCCATCATGACACCTTGGCCCTGAAGGCTCTCGATGAAACTGCCGAATTTGATAAAGCCATACGCTATGCCCGTCAACAAACCTCTCAAGATGATACCCTTATTGTTGTGACATCGGATCATTCCCATACCATGTCTGTGGCGGGTTATTCCAGCCGTAAAAATGATATCTTTGGTATTAACAATGGCCAATTGGCTTTGGACCAGCTGCCTTATGCTACGCTCTCCTATGCCAATGGTCCGGGTTATGGAAATAATGTGCTAAAAGTTGGTCCCGGATTGAAGAGGAAAAATCTCCATGAAATCAATATGAAACACAAAGATTATCAATTCCCCACAACGGTACCTTTGGAATCGGAGACACATGGTGGTGACGATGTGGCCGTCTTTGCCAGTGGTCCCTTTGCCCATCTCTTTACGGGAGTGTATGAACAGAATTTCATACCTCACGCCATGGCGTATGCTTCGTGTTTGGGTTCCAAACGCACCGCCTGTCATGACGGGTTTCATCATAGTCGGAGGCAGTAAATGAGGCGTTATTTTTTTAGATGGGAGGGTAGATTTTAAGTGGTGGGTTAATGAGAATGTAAGGTTATGTTAGGTAAATAATTTTTAAGATTTATTGTAATTTGTTTAAATATAAGTATTTAATTTATTTAGAAAATGAAATGAAGTGATTAAATTAACTGGATTTTTTATAGAACCGTCTAAATTAATTAAAAATCAGTCCATTTTGGTCTTTTAAGGGCTCTAGAGGTTATTAGTTGCCATTTCGGATTTTCAGAGGATGAAAAAGACCTCCTGGGGCAACATTTTCTAAATAGGTCCATATTTTTACATAGGTATATTAGACGTCCTGGCCCCATCTTCCAAAAGAAATGGTTGCTCTTTGGACATTTCGGGTTCTCAGATTATTCTGAAACTGGGAAATTTCGCATTGTTGTTACTATTAAAAACGATTTAAATTACAACACAAAATTGTTAATAACACCACATTGTTATTAAATAATATTTTTGTTATTTCAGCAGAATAATAAAAATATGTACGGAAGACCGCATTAAAGAAAGTATTACATTCAGGTGCTAACTCTGCACATGTCAATAACCCGATCGCAATTTTAAACATTAGGGTGGTGAAGAATGGTCTTTTTCAACCGACGAATACTGAAAGGCGTCTTCTTTTATTTTATCAACTTTTGTTCTTAAATCGGACATTTTTCGATATCCTTATCTACGTATCTATCATTTGGCAGAACCTTGTTCACAACATAAGGACCCTTAAAAATCGCCTTGATACCCCTATTTTTGACCCTAAATCTATGTCACATTGTTACGACTCCTGTTAGGCGGCGCTAGAGGGGACCTTCCCGTTAGCTTGCGATAGCGGGTATATGGTTCGCAACCCGTCCACTTCCTTAGCCCATCAGGGCGAACACGAATTTGATCTCTACAAAACAACACAAACATTAACACTATCACAAACCACATGCTTCAACAAGGGAGTTTTGATGTTGTGCTCCCACATTATGCCCACCCAACAATGGTTTCCAGGCGGTCTTGTGCGCATCATATACAATGTTTCGAAATGTTGTCTTCTACTTCGTCTTTCCATCGGATTTGTGGCCTTCCCCTACTGTGTGAACCATCACTTGGCTCGGGGAATCCTTGCCTTTTGATCGGGGGAATCCTCTTCCATTCTCACAACATGACCTAGCCAATGTCGACGCTGCAGCTCGATCCGTCTGACATCTGTTGGCCAACATTATCCTTCTCAAAATTTCAAAACTGATGTCATTAGTATTATTTATGGCGGTGCTAAGGTATATAATCGTCGTAGGCGATGTCATCTGCTTGGGCGAGTAACATGTGTTGTTTGGTGTACAGAGTGGCATTTCAGTTTACCTTTGCGTCTCGTATGAGCTTTTCCAGAAGGATGTTAAAAAGATCACATGACAAATTGTCACCTTGTCTGAATCCTCGTTTGGTATTGAAAAGCTCCGATAGGCCCTTTCCGACTTTAACTGCTGACCTTGTGCCACTTAAAGTTATCCTGCATGGCAGTATTAATTTTGTAGGAATACCGAACGCAGACATGGTTTTAAACACCTCTGAACGAATATGGCTGTCGAATCCGGCTTTATAGTCGACGAATAGGTGGTATGTGTCGATGTGTTTTTCGTGGGTCTTTTCCAGGATTTGGCGCAGAGTGAAAATCTGGTCAATGGTGGATTTACCAGATCTTAATCCGCATTGGTATGGTCCAAAAATTTCATTGACCATGGGCTTCAGTCTTTCACCCAGCACACTGGATAGCACTTTACATGCGATGGGAAGAAGGTTAATTCCTCTATAGTTGGTACATATCGTCTCCTTTTTTGTGCACGGGACACAGGATACTGAGGTTTCAATCACTGGGCATGCATTCCTCTAGCCAAATTGTACTAATCAGCTGGTGCATGCTCCTGACCAGCATCTGACCAACAGTCTTGAATAGTTCGCCTGGCAATCAATCGGCACCTGTTGTTCTTCAACCGATTAATTGCTAATCTGACCTCATCTTGGCTAGGTTATATGTAATATATACCGCCATCTCTTATTTCGTTGTAGGGTATTTTCTTCACCGCCTCTATTTGATACCAGAAGCTTTTAAAAATGCTCCTTCCATATCCTCAACACACTGTCTGTATCTGTCACCAGGTTTCCTTCATCTTTACAGGAAGATGTGCCTGCACCAAAGCCTTCGGTTTGATGTTTCCGGACTTGATTCTGACTCCTGTACATACGCTACGTTTTCGCCTCAGAAGCATTACAATACTCCTAATTGTACCAAACTGATTTTGTTGCAGTTTGTTGGGAGTGGGCAATTCTTTGTCATTGTCGGGACAAGGAATGCTTTTGTCAAGCAGATGGGTATGATGAGCGGAGTAGGCTTCTGCTACCTGTTGTGTTTGCAGCTTTTCGACGTCGATTTTCCGTGTTACATCGCACCTTTGCTGCCACATTAAGACGGGTGCAAACCTTGGTTGCCACAAAGTAATGGTCCGAATCGATATTTGATTTCTCGTTGCTTGATCAGGAGAAATCTAGGTGGCCTTGTGTATATCGAGATGCTTGAATCTGGTGCTGCTAACTACCATGTTTTTTGCTGGCGCAAAATTCAACCAACCTCATGCTGTTGTCGGATGGAGGCTAAATTTTCCGACGGTAAAGTCAAAAATATTTCCTTTTCCGGTTTTTGTATTAAAATCTCCTAGCAGAATTTTAATGTCTAGGCGCTCGTAAAATATGTCTTTGGTCTGTCCATCTTTGTCTTCCGTCGGAGCATGGGCGCAAATAAGACTGATGTAGAAGAACTTCGCTCTTATACGGATTATAGCAATTCGCTTATCTACTGGAATGAATCTGGAGACGAGATCTTTTATTATCCTGTTAACCATAAATTTGCAGCCAAATTCATGTCTTGTTTCATGGCAGCTATGGTAGGTTAGGTTAGGGATGTACGGTTGTTGGTGACAACAGTCCACTCGGAGACTATGTCCATTGTGATCATCCTTATATATATATATATATATACCTGTAAAGAAAAGAGAGAGTGGAAGAATAGGGAGAAAAGATAGTGAGAGAAAAGGAGCGGAAAGAGGTTATTTTAGCCAAGTCAAATTTTTGACAAAGCCTAGGATTTGGTTTGGGTCTATTTTGGAGAAGAATACTAGATTATCAATTTCATATCTTCCAAACTGTTTATGTCTTCTGCTAATCAGCGATGGACATTTACAGACGATGAGTTCAATTGTTTCCAGTTCTTCTTCGTCCTAACATAGACGACAGTAATCCTCCCACTGGAGTCCCACTTAGAAGTGAGAAATCTAATTTTGCAGTGACCTGTTATGATCCCCACAACGATTTTGATCTCCCTCTTATTGTGTGTCAACAGCGAAGACGTTCTTTTACGGGAGAATTCAGGCCAGATAGATTTTGAGATTCTGCAAGCAGGTTCCCTTATGGTGTTTTTACACGATATGTATTTTACATATGTGCTGTCACTTATTTCATCCATATGTAATTCCTCATGTGTGTCAAAATTAGCGGCGTACACAAAACATTTATTTTTATGTTCAAATCGGCATATGTATTTTACATATGACATAACCTATAAACAAAAAAATCGCTTTTATTTTTTCTTAAATCAACATCTTTTTTTATTAAACACCTACACACGAAATAATAATTTGTAATTGTTGCCTTTTCATCCTTTTCTTTGACTTGCAATTGAAATATTTTCTTCCAACAATGTGTTTCATTCAAACAGCTGATTTCCTTATGTTTCACATACGAAAATAGAGCGCGTCCTATTCGGAAAAAAATACATACAGTGGTGGCCACAGAATTAAAACATTTACTGTGGTAAACATTTTTTGATCAGCCCTCGATTCGTTTGAAGTATTTTTGAAAATTTTTTAATTCAGAACACTTCGATATACTGCACTTAAGAGATTTAGTGTGGAAATGGAAAATTATTTCATGCAATTTTCCATAAATAACGGTTTTTATGAAAATACATCGACTTTGAAGTGGCCATATAATTAAAACATTGTGTAATTTTTTACTTTACTGCATTTTTTTTTAATATTTTTTAAAAAAGCTCTTTAATTTAGTTAAATTATGTAAACTAAGCACCGATAAAATCATTTACTGATAAAAATTTTTGAAAAAAATCTGTAAAATCTATCAAAATTGCCAACAATTTGTACAGTACACCTAACATTCAGAAAATCACCTTTATTATAGAAAATAAAGGTCCGAATGCACCAGAAATTGCTAGAATTAGTAAAAAACAATAAATAATTCTCAAAATAAATAAATATTTGAAATAAAAACTCAAAAAATGGGAATTAACCTAAAGGAACGATTCAATTTCAATAGCCTTTACTGAAGAAGGCCGGAATATTTTTGCAGTATGTGAGAAAATATCGATTGATATTGGTATTTATTATATCAAATCGATTGTTCGAGTAGTACAGAATATATTTAATCAAAAAATTTATCAGTCACAACAGAACGAACAGAGATCAACACCTATGTTGACGAGAAAACGTTTCTGGTACACAGCAGCATGTTTGATGGTTAACTCTTGACCCTTCAAATCTATTGAACATGACAATATTTTTCCAAAATAATATTTTTTGGAGAGAATAATGCCCATTTAATCTATTTTAGCCTAAAAGAAAGAAAAATTTTACAATTTGACAAATATTTAAAGTCTTGTGTTGAGCATCAAAAATGCTGCTGTGTGGCGGAATCTTTTACTCGTCAACATAGGCATTGATCTCTGTTCTTTTTGTTGTGACTGGTATATTTTTTGATAAAATATATTCTGTACTACTCGAACAATCGATTTGATGTAATAAATGCCAATATCAATCGATATTTCCTCACATACTGCAAAAATATTCCGGCCTTCTTCAATAAAGGCTATTGAAATTGAATCGTTCCTTTAGGTTAATTCCCATTTTTTAAGTTTTTATTTC